GGAGCCGGTGCTTGTGGAGAGGGCCCTACAGGTGCTAGCTCTGGGGGTTCTGGAGTTGGAGCTGAGCCCGTGGTTGCAGGAGACTCTTGTCTTCCGGGAGCTAGTGTTGGTCCTGCTGACTCTGGGGGTGCGGGTGCACCCTCTTCGGGTCCTGGTGAGCCTGGTCGTGTTGCTGTTGGTGGTGCTGACTCTGGGGGTGGTGCGCCAGGTGCTTTGGAGGGCGGTCCCGGGGCTGCCACAGCCCCTGACACTACTCCTCCCCCCCACCCCTACCCGACCCGGCACCCGGCTCGTGTTCGCCGTGCCCGTGAGGAGCAGCTGGAGCTGGAGAGAGAGGAGAGAGAGTTGCAGCGGCTGGAGGAGCAGCATCAGCAGGAGGAGCAGTTGCAGCTGCCGCAGCTGGAGCCGCCGCAGCAGCACGAGGAGCAGCAGCCGCCGCCGCAGCAGCAGCAGCAGCAGCAGCAGCCGCCGCCTCCTCCTCCTGTCTCTGGTCTTCGGGCCCTCGGTCTCCCCTCTCGCTCTCCTTCCTCCTCCCCCTCTCCTCCCATCTCGGGTCCTCCGCTTCCTCCTCCTGACCCCTCCCCGGCTGTTTTCCCTCGTTCTCAGCCTCAGTTGTCCCCTCCTCCTTCTCATACTTGGGCCTCTCATCGCTCCCCTCGTGCTCGCCCCTAGTCTCCTGTTATCGTTACTGACCTTCGTACTGCCCTCTTTTGTTCTAGTCCTCCTCGTTCATCTCCGTCTCTCCTTCCGTCTCCTCTTGAGTCGGCCTTCACCGCTTCTCTCTCTACTCCTGTCACTGACTACTACCGCGCGTACTGTCCTGTTCTCTCTCGTGTTCTCGCCTCTCTTGTTACCGACCCTCGTGCCTCTGTCTCCTCTGTCTCCGCCCTTACTGCCGCACTCACTGAGTTTGCCTCTACTTGCCGCCTTGTCTACGCCACCAGTCTTGTGGCTGCTCCTCCTACCAGTCCTCTGGCCGTCGGGGGTGAGTCTGCCCTTGGCTGTGACGCCCTAGAGGACAGGCAGTTTGAGCTAGAGTTCCTGGCAGCCGCTTCCCCACATCTCTGTGCCATGCTGCTCGCCCCTGAGGGAGACCCCGAGGCCCTTGACATACCGACTCCTCTTAGTGGAGAAATGCCATGGACGCAGAGATGGCCTCCTACAGATCCACAGGCACCTACGTCGACGAGGTTCCCCCCCCTGGGGCGAACGTAGTCGATGGCATGTGGATCTACAGGGTGAAGCGGCCACCAGGATCTCCTCCGGTCTTCAAGGCGTGCTACGTGGCTAGAGGTTTCAGTCGGCGCGAGGAAGTTGACTTCTTTCAGGCCTTCGCGCCTACCCCGAAGATAACCACTCTTTGGGTGTTACTGCACGTAGCAGCACAGAGAGACTACGAGTTACACTCTCTCGACTTCTCCACTGATTTCCTTCAGGGTAGCTTACACGAGGAGGTCTGGCTGCGTCGTCCCTCTGCCTTCACTGACACTTTCCCTCCTGGGACCCAGTGGAGGCTGAGGCGACCTGGCTACAGTCTTCGTCAGGCTCCTCGTGAGTGGCACGACACTCTTCGCTCTACCCTTTCTGACCTTGGGTTCCAGCCTTCTTCTGCCGACCCGTCGCTGTTCGTTCGTCGTGGCTCCATTCCGTTCTTTGTTCTGGTCTACCTCGACGACCTGGTTTTCACCACTTCTGACAGGGTTGCCTTGGCAGACGTGAAGTCCGAACTGCATAAGAGACACACGTGCACTGACCTTGGTGAGCTGCGCCACTACCTTAGCCTGCAGATCACCAGGGACAGAGCTGCTCGCACCATTACACTCTCACAGTCACACATGGTGCAGCAGGTCCTTCAGCGGTTCGAGCTTCAGCACTCCACAGTACAGCGCACACCTCTTGCTGTTGACCACATACTTACTAGACCTTTTCCTGACGAGCCGTTTGAGTCTAGTGGTCCCTACGCAGAGCTGGTGGGCTGCCTCATATACCTGATGACTTGCACTCGCCCGGATCTCGCCTTCCCTCTCAGCATCCTTGCTCGCTTTGTTGCGCCAGGGAGACACCGTCCTGTTCACTGGACGGCAGATGTGAGGGTGGCGAAGTACCTAGCGACGACATCAGGCGTGGGGCTAGTTCTTGGAGGGCAGCAGCCTGTCGTACTTACTGGTCACTGTGACTCTTCTTACGCTGACTACACTGAGACTCATAGGTCTACTCAGGGGTACTGTTTCAGCCTGGGTTCTGGAGCTGTTTCGTGGCGGTCCACGCGCTCCTCTTCGGTCTCGACCTCTACAGCTGAGGCTGAGATCTACGTTGGTGCCATGGCGGCACATGAGCTGCGTTGGTTGACCTTCTTGCTCGCCGACCTTGGTGAGCGGCCGAGCTCTGCACCGACCTTGTTTACTGACAACAAGGCGTTGATTCTCCTTTGTCGAGAGCCGCGACTGGAGAGCAGAGTGAAGCATATTAACGTCAGGTACTTTCTTCTGCGAGAGTTGCAGAGACGTGGACAGGCTCGCTTTGAGTTTGTGGAGTCCGAGGCCAACACTGCAGACATCTTCACCAAGGCGCTTCCGCCTTGTGACCACCAGAGGTGTTCTGTGCAGTTAGGCTTTGTTGACACGGTTTCTAGTCGTGTATAGGCTTGAGTATACTATTTGCTAAGGCGCTTCCGCCTTGTGACCAAGGCGCTTCCGCCTTGTAACCACCAGAGGTGTTGTGTGCAGTTAGGCCTTGTTGACACAGTTTGCTTGTACTCTTGCTATACACACTTGTGAACTCTCGCTGGCCTTGTGGCCCCTGTTGCTTGTGCTCAGAGTGTGTGATGACGTTGTGATCCACCCTGAGCTTTGTTTCTTTGCGACTGGTCTTGTGACAGTACACTTTTGGTTTTGCTTGACACCCCTCACTTAGGCTATGGGGGTGTGTCAAATGTTGTAGCCTGTAGTGAGGTTTGTCTGAGGGGGTACAGATGTTAGGGTTTGTTATATGTACCCCAACCCACATCAATGAACACACACTTCTATTCTTGACAGCGACATATTGTACTGTATGCCAAGAGCAAAAACAAATGAAGCTAATCGTAGAATTATTATGTCCTACCGTAAATTACTGGATACATTTTCAAAGAATGATGATACCAAGGTCAATCATGATAATACCGTAACGTATTTTCTCATGTTCTGTACTTTGGGAACTTATCTTGCCTCATATGCGGGTTTCCCAAGATGGTTGGCGGGAGTTTTAGTGGGTTGTTGACATGCCTTCGTCAAGTCAACTAATTAGGGTTTCGCACAGCGACCACCGCGCTTAGCGGGCGAACGGCACGTGCCAGAGGAAAACGCGAGAAGCGAGCAACGCGGGTGATCTGCCATCATGACTCATATCCTCTCATTGTGTCACTCTTCGCCGTCTCGCCCATCGCGTCGTCATCCTTCCCTGATTTTCCATTCCTAATTGCTTCGTTAGTTGTTTCGTCTATTCGTATGCGATTTCAAGTTTTTTTTCGCGCTTTCCTTGCTTTGGTCATTTTCCACGTCGTTATCGTCGTGCCTCTTTTTGCTACCATCACTTTCTGTTTTCCTTAACCTGCGGCACTACACGTGGCAACCAGAGAGAGACCGATAGGGCTCGAGCGGCGGCTCGTAATGCGAAAGTGGGGAAGAAATCTGACGACGGATTGACCCCAGAGCAGCGGAGAGAAAGGTATCTTCAGCCGGCTGCTCGTTCCCTCCCGTGCCTCTTTTTCTCACGTGTTACCTCCAACCTTTCTTTTTTTGGTTGCTCCCTACGTCACGTACGTCCTCGCGAGTGCTCTACCTCCCCTTTCCCCTCCCTCCCGCCGCCCCCCTTCTCTCTCTCTCTCTCTCTCTCTCTCTCTCTCTCTCTCTCTCTCTCTCTCTCTCTCTCTCTCTCTCTCTCTCTCGTTTCTTTCCTCTCCTTCCGTCCCCCCTTTACCCTTCCCTTTCCCGTTTTCCCCTGTCTTCTTGGGTTCGCCCCTGTGCCTACCCTGTAGTCATCTTCCAGCCATGCACAGCTTTACCCTAGGTTGTTACTTGTTACTAATGCCATGTATTCGCGCGCACCCGTTCTTGGTCAAGTGGTTAGCCTGAGCTCTCGTCTTTGTGTGTGTTGCTTTCAGGGATGCCAAGGCTCTCCAGGAAAAGGCAGCCAAAAAGGCAGCTGCTGCGAACGATTCAGGAGGAGGGTCTAAAGGCAAGAAATAGTGCTGCTGATGCTGCTGCAAGTGGAAGTTGTAGCTAGGTGTGCGTTGATTGATCCCCTAATACGGTATCTATGATCCTTACGAAGCTGCTCACATAGAGTGGGGCGGGACTCGGGAGCTGTGAGGTATATCTCAAGGCAACGTCTGCTGCTGCAGTGTCACATCGCGTTGCAACACAAAACCCCCCCACAAAGAAACTTGAGAACAAGCAAGTTTGGGTACCGTGTTTGTGTTTGTGTATGTGCTTTCATTTGTGAAAATCAGTGAGGAACTGCCATCCAGCTTGCAAGTACAAGTTTATACCTAGCCCTTCTAAGGGTACATTCCGCTGTGGACACTGTCCCAATCGATGTGTCCCAATCGAGTGTACCGCTCCGAACCGAACTAAACCAGAGACGCGAAAATTTCGAAACTAGGGTGCAATTTGGTGTAATACGATGCAGTGCGGTAGAAACGATTGAGACACTTTCGATTGGGACATGTCCAGCGCGGAATGTACGTGAGGCTCTGCCTGTACACTTGCACTGCACTGTAAGCTACCTACCACCATCAGATTGTAACATGGTGAGGCAAGTGATTGCAATGCAGAAGCGGCAGCTGCACAGCACAGGCCAGCCAGTGAATACTATCGAAAGCAAACCACCTTATCATGAAGCAAGAATTGACTATCAAAGAGCTAGCCATAATGACAGACAGGTACTGAGTAGTACTGATTGGTACGCTGCAAGGGCAGGAAGGACTTACATCAGCAGTCCAGTCGAGTGCAGTCACAGGCTCACAGCAGCATGAGCAGCCTAACACACTCGTTTCTAATGGACAGCAGCAGCTGCTCTTGCTCCCTACGGTATCGCTGAGCCACAGCCACACACGCCGCCTCGTCGGCAACACCCGAGGCCTCTCCCACACCCCTCTGCCTTTGCTCCTCTCCCGGCCCTCCCGCTTGCCTTTCCTCCTGCTCTTCCTCGTCGTCCTCCTGCTCTTGCTCCTGTGCCAGCAGCGTGCCCACGAGGTCGAGTAGAGTGGAGAGAGCAGCAGAGCGCACTGCAGGGGGGATCTGAGAAGCGCCAGGGGAGGACAGATGGGGAGAGGGCACCCAGGAATGGGGTTGAGAGAGAGGGTGGAGGGGATGAGGATGGACGACGAAATGTGGGGAAGAATGAGAAAGAGGTGTTGCAGCGATATAAAGCCGTTCTCATGGACATGGGGTAGCAGAGCAGCGCACATGGTTATAGAGCGGTGCAGGGGAGAACACAGCGATGCACGTGGAAACAGGAGCGTTGCATGGGAGAACAAAACGGTGCATGTGACAACAAAGCGGTGCATGGAAAAACGAGGTGCATGGGACAGCAACAGGGAGGTAAACATACATCTGCCTGGGGTGGCTGGAGAGCATCAGCCTTCCACATCCTCCGCTCCTTCATGTTCCCTCCCACAGCCCCACACAGTGCCACACACAGCCGCCAAGGCAGCGCTCCCCACACATCCTCACTCCCACCCCCCCCTGTCCCCTCCCTATACTCCCTATCCTCCCTATCCTCCCTATCCTCCCTATCCTCCCCTTCATTCTCAACCGTCTCCTCCTCTGCACTCTCCCCGTCGCCCCTCTCCACCACAGTGCCAGCGGGCGTCAGTGTGAGGTCGCACGCGCGCAGCAGGTGCTGTGACAGCGCCAGCACCGGCTGCTCTCCCTGCCCTCCCGCTGCTGCACCGCCTTTGCCTCTGTCCTTGTCCGTGTCTCTGCCGCTGGCCCTGGTTGTGTTGGCAGCACTTGCATCATTGGCGTCAGTGGCAGTATCGGTGGTACAGACATGGTTATCAGCACCACTGGCATCATCGCTGTGCCGTGGCTTTTTTGCAGTGGCGCCCACAGCTGTGTCGTGAACTGCTGCTTCCCCCCCTCCACCTTGAGCAGCAGCAGCAGCCGTGTCCTCCCTGCATGCATCGGTTACCACGGTTTGCGTATTTTGAATGATGGTTGCTCCATCTTCGTCCATTCTCTCCCTGCCTCCTTCCGCTGCTCCCTCTTCCCTCATCGCTTCCCCTTCGCCCCCATCTTCAGTGTTTTCCGCTCCTGCTTTTCCCTCTTCTGCTTCTTCAGCTTCTTCCTCCTCCGCAGAAAAGTCAAGGTCTGCCACAGTGCCACACCATCATGACCCCATGAGCACGTCATGCATGCATCATGCCATCGCCACTCCATCATTCCACAAGCATAAGCACAGAGGAAGGAGCAAGAGGGCAGGCTTCGGAGCATATGGGTGGGTGGAAAAAGGGGTAGATGTGCAAGCCTATGCCCATGCCCATGCCCAACACCCGCTGCCCACAGCCCACGGCCATGAAAACACAGGCAGCTCTAGATCATGCGCACTTCAGCTCCAGTTTACTCTACTCAGCGAGTGGGTAGCAGTCTTAGGGGTTGCGGAATAACTTCTGAGTCCGCCCAACATTCAAGTCGCAGTAGCAGTTGTGGACCGGAAATATTGCGCTCCTAGGCTACACGATCTACTATACTCCACCTCTCACCGAGCGGGAAGCAGTCGTAGGGGTTGCGGGAGGGCAGCAGGAAACCGTAGAAGAGAGCAAGGTCGTGTGAGGGCAGCGGGCCGTATGACAGGAAGCACTGCTGCCCTGCCCGCACTGGCCGCTCCAGGCGAAGGTTCAGCCGGTGGGAAATAGGGTGGAGAGAGGTGGGGGTGGAGGTGGTAGGCAAGGAGGAGGAGGGGGATGGGGAGGTGGAGGTGGAAGCGGAAGCGGCGGAGAAGTGGGTGAGGGGAGTGGAGGAGGGGGCAGAGGGTTCGAGTGTGCTGAAGTGGGTGATATGAGGGTACAGCTGCCGGGGACATGGGGGTAGGTAGGATAGGGGAAGTGGGAGAGGCAGGATCAGAAAGAAGAAAGATGAAGGGTGGGGATTGTTTTGAAGACAGGCGAGCAAAGTGACGGTCTGTCAGGTGTGAGTTGTCAGCCCCTGCTTCATGCAACCAAGGGAACATGCAGTTCCTTCCATGCCCCTCCCTGCATGCCCCTTTCTGCAACCCTCCCTGCATGCCCCTTTCTGCAACCCTCCCTGCATGCCCCTTTCTGCAACCCTCCCTGCATGCCCCTCCTTATACAACACTGCACAAGTCTCTGCTTCAGTCTTCCCTGTGCAACGCATGCGCCTCGTGCTGTACCTCAGCCTGCTTGAAACCTGCTGTGTGGGCTCACCGAGTGGTTAAGCAGAGAGGCAAGCGGCACAAGACACGGCAGTGCGGTTGTCTCCCCTGCCTGCTCCGCCCCTCCTCCTCCTAACTGCCACGCTCCCTGCATGCTCAATAACGGCCCTGCTGCTGCTGATGGTGCTGATGGTGCTGATGGTGATGGTGATGCTGCTGCTGCTGCTGCTGCTACAGCATGTGGTGGGGGAGGGGAAGGCAGGGCTATGCGCATGGCGTAGGCATACCAGAGCTCTGCTGCTGCTGTGAAGGCGGAGAGGGAGAAAAGTGCAGGCGGGAAGAGAGAGGGGTAGCGCTGGGAGAGGGCTGGGAAGAGAGAATGGTACTCTGCGTGTATGTGCTGGTTGGGGGGGAGGGAAAAGGGAGAGAGAGAGGTAGAGAATGGGAAGGGAGGGGAGGGACGAGGGGAGAAAGAAGTATGTGAAGAGTTGTGAGATGATGGCGCAATTCGAGGGCGCAGGTGGGAGAATGAAATAGGAACTGCTTGAGTCTTGACAAAAACAAGCATGAAAGGCATAATCGGCATGGTTGGTTGGCACTATATAGGCCCAATATGGTTGGCATGGATGGTATAGGGAGAAGGAAACCCAAGAGAAGCAGTGAGCAGAGGGGCAGAGTAAAAGCAGATGCACGCTACTGAATTAAAAGCTCCAATTTGCATTCCCTTCCCAAACCCCCGCCCCCACCCCTCCCCTCTCTTTCCTTGCCCCTCCCCTGCCTCTCCCGCTTCCCTCTCCTTGTCCTTGCTCCACTTGCACTCGCCTGTCTGTCACCCACACACCTGCCTGGCGCGTTCTATGTGTGTATGCAGCAGTGTTCCCTGCACTGCACGCACTGCTGTTTCTGGCCATGTCAACGCTGGCAGTGCCAGGGAGGGGATAAGAAGCAAAGCAGGTGGCAACACACTTTTGAATCGTGTTAAGAGATTCCGCTCATTCCCTGCACTACACGCGAGGATGCTTCAGGTCATGATGGTACTGCTGGGTTGGGGAGGTGCCGAGGATGAGAAGTAGGGCAAGTGGCCGGGACACACGGGGTCGAAGCGGGAAGAGAGGTGCCAACACACTTTTGAGTCGCCTGAAAAGTCACCTCTTGCCCCACACGGCTCATTACGATGTGTGCACTTTCTAACAAAGGTATCATCGAGGCTAATGTGAGAGGAGAGGAGAGGAGAGGAGGAGGGGGCGCCACCTGTGTTGATGACCGCAGGCAGGGTGTTGAAGAAAGGCGCATAGAAGGACGAGGGGTCGTGCCGTTGCTGAATGGTCCACAGCAGAGCAATGCTCTCATCACTAATGCTGCACACATCCACCCCATCCTCCTCCACGACAGTGCGCCCATCCTCAATGTCTCCCATGTCTGTGTCCTCCTCTTCGCCCCTCAGCCGATCAGCTTCAGCTCCGCCCTCCGCCTTGCCAGATTGTACCCCTCTTTCTGCTCCACATTGTGCCCCACCCGCCTCTCGTCCTTGCACCGCTTCCTCCACGTTTCCACTTTGAACCCTGCCCTCTGCTTCTTCGCGTTGCTCTGTTGCCACTCTGCTGCTTCTGCCTATCGCCTTCTCTCCTGCTCCACGTCGCACAGCTTGACCCTGCCATGCCATGCCATGCCGTGCCATGCCATGCAATGCCATGCCATGCCATGCCGTGCCATGCCATGCCATGCCGTGCCGTGCCATGCCGTGCCATGCCGTACCATGCCGTGCCATGCCGTGCCATGCCGCGCCATACCATGCCACGTCATGCCATGCCATGCCATGCGACGCCATGCCGAGCCATGCCAACAGTTGTACAGGAGGAGGGTACAGTGGAAAGACTGAGTACGAAGTTGTTCACTCTAACACTCCAGCAAGGTACATACATGCTTCTGTCTTTTTCACCTTCCCCCTTTTCTCCCTTTCCTGTCCATCCCTTTTCTGCGAGCTCTCCCTTCTCTACGCCCTTGCTCCTCCCCTGCTCTCCCCTGCTCTCCCCCCCGCATGGTACCCAGCGAAAATGAGCAGCAGGCAGAGGGGAGGGAGGGGCGCGGGGAGGGGCTGGAAAGCTGAGGCGTCTCAGAACATAACCATGAGGCTGAAGCATCACAGTCCCCTTCAATACACAAGCCCTCACACAGACTCGAACGAGATGGGATGGGATGGGAGAAGCACGCATGGTACGTACCAAGGGAGAGGCGAGCGCAGTGAGCGGCGAGATGATGAGTGGGAGGGGAATAGAGAGCACTGTCTCCCCCGCCTCCATGGCCCCCCGCGCTCCCATGCCCCGTCCCGTGCCCGGGAACTCTGTGCCGGGGAGGGATCGGGGTGAGGGGTGTGGGGTGTGGGGTGTGGGGTGAGGGGTGTGGGGTGTGGAATTGAGAATGTTGGGTGTGCAGTGTGGGGGATGGGGGATGAGGGGATTGGGAATCATGCATGAAGGATGGGATGGAAATGGGGGGTGGGTTGTGGAGAAAGCCAACATAGCCATGGATGGCGATGGATGGGATGGGATGGGAGAGCAGCACATCGGGCAAGAGGAGCCATGGAAGGAAGCACATCCATGCGTGGCTTACGGTGGCTGACAGCATAGGTCATCAAACACAAAAATCTTTCCCCCCTCTCTCCCTCCCTTTCTCGTCCCCACTCAGCCTCTCTCCCTCCCTTTTTTCCCCCCTCCCCGCCTCTCTCCCTCCCTTTCTCTCCCCTCTCCCCCTCTCCCCCTTCCCCCCTCTCCCACTCCCCCCTCCCCCTCTCCCCCTCTCCCCCTCGCCCCCTCTTGTCCCCTTGCACCTCGCACGTCCAGCTCGCACGTGGCGCCATGGGTCACAGCCCATTCCATCAGCCGCCTCTCCGCCTCCCTTTGCCCCTCTTCCCCCTCCTCCCCCTTCTCCCCTTTCTCTCCCTCCTCTCTCTCCGCTCCCCTGCCATCCCCTGCCCCGCACCTCTCCCCCTTCCCCCGCTCCCCTGCTGTCTCCCCCCCTGTCTGCCCAGCTGCCTCCCCCCCTGCCTCTTCCCCCAGTCCCCTCAGCCGCCGCAACACCTCCCCCATCATTGCTTCCGCCACTGCCCACCCCTTTTCCTCCATTTCTGGCGCACAGGGGAGGGGCGCGGGGGCAGGCGAGGCAGCGGAGGAGGGCGGGGGATGCAGGAGGGGGAGGAGGGCGAGGTGAATGCGGCGCAGCGACTGGAGCTCGTTGCGGGGGGAGACAGGGGCACGGGGAGGGGAAGCGAGGAAATAGAACTCGTCCTGGGGGGAGATGGGGGAGGAAAAGGGGGGCGGAGTTTGGGGGCAGGAGGGCAAGAGTGGGAGGAGGGGAAGGGGGAAAAGGGGGGTGGGGAGGTGAAGGGGTTAGGGGGTAGGGTTGGGAAGGAGAAGGGAAGGGTTTGAGCAGAGGTGTTGGAGGCAAAGGGGCAAGGGGGTGGTGTGGTGGGCGAGGGTGGCAGCCTGGCAGGTGAGAGGGGGGGTAGGTGCGTGGGAACGGTGAGAGTGTGGCGACGAGCAGAGGGGTGGATGCAAGGGAATGAGGGCGTGTGGTGATAGCATGCAATAAACTGAGACGCAAGGGAATGAGGCAAGGTGGAAGCGTGTGGGAGATTGCATGGGAGGAGTGAGGTAAGATAGGGAGTGGTTTAAAACGGAAGCACAAGGGTACGGACGAGGTTCAGCTCCAGCACGCGCGCAGCCATCAGGAGGCTGTCCAGCTCCGCCTGCCCCGTGCCCCTTTCCTCGCCCCTCCGCGCGCCCCCTTTCTCCGCCTCCTGCCCCGCAACCCCTTCCCCGCCCCTCCCGGTCCCCCCTTCCGCCTGTCCGCCCCCCGCCTCCCCACCAAGCGCCACCTCCAGCGGCAGGTGCAGTGCCCGCAGGAGAGCCTGCGGGGGATCGGCGGAGGGCGCAGCGGGATAGGGTGCGGGGAGGGGGGAGGGAGGGAAGGGGAGGGGGGAGAGGGGGAGGGGGGAGAGGTGGAGGAAACCCCTGATGACGGGGGTTTGGGAACATGGAGAAGCATCGAGAAAAACAAGAGAATTTGGCACGGACGGCAAGGGAGGGGCGGCGAGGGAGGGGCGGCGTGGGAGGGGCGGCGAGGGAGGGGTGGCGAGGGAGGCGGGGCCTGATGGGGGTTGTCGGAAGGCAGGGTTTGGGGTTTAAGGTAGGGCGAACGGAACGGAACGAAAAGATTTTAAAGGCATTGCATGCAGCAGTTGGCCTGTGTGTGACGGATGGGCGCCCTCTAACCTCCACCCTCCACCCTCCTCCCCCCAGCTCACGACTGATGACCGCACCACCCCTCCCCACGCCCCAATGCGCCTCACCGCGCGCCACGCGCCCCCCCTTTCCCCCGAATTTCTCCCCTTCCCCCGATCTCTTCAGCACTCCCCGCCCCCTATCGCCCTCCCTCGATCTCTCCCCCAGCCCGGCACATTCCCCGCCCGCTCACCAGCTTGTGCTGCGCCAACGGGTCGTTGCGCGCCGGGTCCAGGCGCACGGCCATGGCGGAACGACACGGGCGACGGCGGAAGGGTGCGCGCGCGCGAGCAAGTGCGCGAGTGAGCGACCTAGAGACAGACCGCGCAAGAAGAAAAGCTCGCCGCGCGCGCTCTTTCAAGATGTATGCTATTGAGTCGAGCCAAGCTCGTGTTCCTCTGGCCTCCCAACACACGCTGGTGAGTGAACGGGCTCTGAGACGTCTCAGAATACTCTGCTGCTACCGGTAGTTGCAATGCACGTGGTGCGCACGGAATTGACTCTGGTGGACGGCAATTCACGCCTTGTGGTCCCTCTACCCGCACGCTCAGTGCTCCGTATACCAGCTGGTTGTGCAGCTGGGAACAGGCCTTGTTGTGAGCTGTCTCAGGAAAAACTACCAGCAAGTCAATCTGGTGTGGCGTGATCGTGGTGTGGTGACTCATGAAGACATGCTGCTGCTGTCAAACAATCAGTCCAAGTGCCATGGCATGGCAACTCATTTCTATGCCTGTAAAATGCCTTGCTATCTCCTTCCAAAGCCGTAGATAATGGTATTTAACTATTAGGACTCACAATTGTGGTGCTCCAAACCTTACATGTATGTGTCTGTGTGCTTGTGCATTTGTATTTAGTTATTCAGGTACCATGTCGCCAGCAAAACAAAGAACCAAAGATAACACCCCCTTGGAATTCCACAGCTTTTTCCTAGCCTTTTATGAATGCACCATTCACTGATGAACGTGAGCGAAATCAGGTACTGCAGGTATAGCAAGCAAGGCAGGGCATAATCAGCGACGGCCTGTCGTGGCAGTGTCTTGTTGTGGGGGGAGGGCGTAGGGGGTCAGCTCCCCTATCTCTGGGTGATCGCCCTGTGAGCAAGAGGGTGGGATTGGAGGGGCGTGAGGCAGAGCTATGCTATCACATGCCAGGGATTTCTGGCTTGCTTGGAAGAATGCTACAGATGGAAGTACTGTGAAATGCTGCGAGTTAAACTGAGTGAGACTTGGGAGGGCGGTGCACTAAGTGGTGGGGTACGGGAGGAGAGTAGAGGCATGGGAAGGTGGTTGTGGACAGGTGTGCATGGAAGCCGAGGGGTGATTGGCTGGGAGATACATGTGACATGATCAATGATGCGTGCGTGTGTAGGAGCACACGGGCATGTGCACGTGCATGTGCATGTGCATGTGCATGTGCATATGCATGGGCCTGCGCATGTGCATCCGCATGTGCGTGTCCAAGCACCCACCTGCAGCTGGCCAATGTTCCACTCATTGCGGAACAGCAGCACCGGCCGATCCCACTGCACACACAGCATGAGCCAGCAGGGGACAGCATGGGCAAGCAAGCAAGAGGTCAGAATCCACTTTTGAGTCAACTCCATTGAAAACAGCAGCACCGGCCGATCCCACTGCACACACAGGGAGGGTGAGCCAGCAAAGGACAGCATGGGCAGGCAATAGGCCCGGATCCAGTTTTGAGTTGACTAGGAAATAAATACAGCAGCACCGGCCACTCCCCTCCCCCTCCCCCTCCCCCTCCCCCTCCCCCTCCCCCTCGCCTGCACACCTGGTCTTTGACAACAGCGCAGTTGAAGAGGCGCCCAGCCTTCTCCACAACCTCATACCCATGAACTCTCCAGCAAACCCCCAAACCATGAGCAGACTTTAGAGTCGACTCAAAAGTCACACCCATGAACTTTTCAACAAATGCCCTGCCATTCCACAAACACCTATCCACCCTCATCCTCCCCCTCCCTCCCCCTGCACGCCTGGTCTTTGACAACAGCACAGTTGAAGAGCTGCCCAGCCTTCTCCACAGCCTCCCATCCATACAACTCTGCTGCAAGACCCCCAAACCACACCAGAATTCCACAAACACCCATCTTTTTCCCATCATCATCCTCCCCCTCCCCATCACCTTTACTGTACCCTCCCCTCTCCCCCGCGCACCTGGTCTTTCACCACAGCGCAGTTGAAGAGCCGCCCAGCCTTCTCCACGGCCTCCCATCCGCCCGACACCCACCGCGCCGCTGTGAACCCCAGCGGCTCGAAAGATGCATCCACGCCGTACTCTGCCTTCAAGCGGTGCTGCACCACCTGGTGTGAGCGAGTTGGGGGAGGGGCGGGGGGAGAGGGGGAAGTGAGCGGGCAGAAAGGGGGGAATACGAGTGTGCCCCAGGACCAGGGACGCATCCACCCCGTACTCTGCCTTCAAGCAGTGCTGCACCACCTGGTGTGAGCGAGTTGGGGGAGGGGCGGGGGGAGAGGGGGAAGTGAGCGGGCAGAAAGGGGGGAATACGAGTGTGCCTCAGGACCAGGGACGCATCCACCCCGTACTCTGCCTTCAAGCGGTGCTGCACCACCTGGTGAAGAAGAGAGAAGAGAAGAGGGGGGGAAGGTGGCAGGTGGGGGAAGTGAGCGAGCAGAGAGGGGGGTTTTGTCTGTGTGCCTCAAGACTGGTGATGCCTGCACTCCGTATCCTGCCTTCAGCCAGTGCTGCACCACCTGGTGTGGGAGAGGGGGGGCTTGGGCAGAGTGAGCGAGCAGAGAGGGGGGGTTTGTCTGTGTGCCTCAAGACCAGTGATGCCTGCACCCCGTACTCTGCCTTCAAGCGGTGCTGCATCACCTGGTGGGGGGTACGGGGTGGCGAGGGGAGCAGTGGGGGAGGGTGGGGGAGGCGAAGGGGAGAGAGGAGTTTCAATGTGTTTGAGATGATAAAAAGAACTGCTGTGAACCCCAGCCCGCTCAAGGGGCGAGGCGAGGAGCGAAAGAGAAGACAAGTGCGTGGCAGTGCAGGCGTGCAGAGTGCTGTGGGGGCAGGGAGAGTGAGCATGCACAGTGCAAGTCAGCAGGGCGAGGGAGGGAGCAGGGAGAGCACGCAGCAGGCATGGCAGCACAGCAGCACAGCACACACACAGAACACAGCACAGTGAAAGCAGCAGCGCGCACCTCAAACTGCAGTTGCCCCACAGCAGCGAGGATAGGATCAGTGCGCGACGCATCGTTGGAGTAGAGCACCTGCACGGCGAGGAGACGAGGCAGAGGCGCATGGGGAAGGGGAGGGCGGGGGAGTGCGGACCGTGGGAGGGGAGGAGCGAGGAGGAGTGGGGAAGGGGGAATGAGGAAGGTGAGAGGGGAGTAGGGCGGAGGGGGAGCGGGGAAGAGTGAGGAAGGCGAGTGTGGAGGAGTGAGGAGGAGGAGAGGGGAGGAGTGCGGATACGGAGAGGGGGAAGTGAGGAACGGAGTGCGAAATACACAAGGTGAGACAAGAAGGGAGACGAAAAGGGGATGAACAAATGGGGGAATTAAGGCACAACCGAGAGGGCAGGTGGTTCCACAGTTGCACAGCCTGCATGCATGATGTGGTGAGGAAGTGAGAGACGGACGGCGAGGCAGGAGGGGCAGACGAGCCTCAGAGAGGCAGGGGAGAGTACTGGAGGGTAGGGTGAGGGGGAGATGAAGGAGAGACGGAAGGGCGAACCAACCAATGGAGGGCCATAGGGGGAGCGAGCAAACCCATGTTGGGGGAAAGAGGGGAAGAAAGAAGGAAGAGCAGAAGTGAGAGGAACGGTCGAAAGGAGGGGGTGTTAACTTGCTGACTCTCAACTCAATGTCACCCTCATGCTTACTCTCACTCCCATGCCCCCTCATTTTCCCCTTCCCTCCCACACTTCAGCACACACCTGCACTGAGCCCTCTCCCACCATCGCTGTTCACAAGACGCCTCAGAAAGGCACAGTGCCCACCTGCACTCCCCATCACTCCCTCCCAAGCATCAACAGCCACCTGCACCGCACTGCACCCACCTGCACGGCGCCCTCGCCCAGCAGCTCGGAGAGCCCCTTCTGGAACTGCTTGTACTTGGAGGGGTTGGGGTTGCGCAGCAGTGCAAAGAGCTCCGGGGAGAAGCAGGGGATGGGCGGGAACACACGGCGCGGCCCCGTGAATATGGTGTCCCCGATGGCAAACACGCCGGGGTTGTTCAGCCCGATGACTGCATGGGGATGAGGGAGAGGGGAGAAGGGGGTTGGGGATGGGAACAGGGCAGGGAATCAAAAGGGATGAAGATGGTGTCCCGATGGCAAACACGCCAGGGTTGTTCAGCCCGATGACTGCCGTGTGGGGAGAGGGTGGGGGGCGGGGGGATGAGGGGGTGAGGGGTTCGGGGGTTGGGGAAAGGGGCAGGATGTTGGGAAGGGGCGGGAGCTGCAGTGAAGATGGTGTTTCCAAACACACCGGGGTTGTTCGGCCCAATGACTGCATGTTTGAGGAGAGGGTGGGGTTGGGACGGGGACAGGGCAGTGGGGAAGCGGCACACACACCAGGGTTGTTCAGGCTAACCACTGCGTGTGTGGAGAGAAGGAGGGAGTTCAAAGTGGGGGGGTTGGGGTCAGGTCAGGGAATTGGAAAAAGAGGGCATGAGCAGCAAAAACGCGGTGTAGCTGACAGCACACAAAAAGGGATTGGGTTGGATAGAGGTTAGACATGGCACCAGAACATTGGGGTGGTGAGCATTGGGGTGGTGAGCATTGGGGTGGTGAGCATTGGGGTGGTGAGCATTGGGGTGGTGAGCATTGGGGTGGTGAGCATTGGGGTGGTGAGCATTGGGGTGGTGAGCATTGGGGTGGTGAGCATTGGGGTGGTGAGCATTGGGGTGGTGAGCATTGGGGTGGTGAGCATAGGGGTGGTGAGCATTGGGGTGGTGAGCATAGGGGTGGTGAGCATAGGGGTGGTGAGCATTGGGGTGGTGAGCATAGGGGTGGTGAGCATAGGGGTGGTGAGCATTGGGGTGGTGAGCATAGGGGTGGTGAGCATTGGGGTGGTGAGCATTGGGGTGGTGAGCATTGGGGTGGTGAGCATTGGGGTGGTGAGCATTGGGGTGGTGAGCATTGGGGTGGTGAGCATTGGGGTGGTGAGCATTGGGGTGGTGAGCATTGGGGTGGTGAGCATAGGGGTGGTGAGCATTGGGGTGGTGAGCATAGGGGTGGTGAGCATTGGGGTGGTGAGCATAGGGGTGGTGAGCATT